GGTTTTCGTGGGGGTTTTTTTTTGGTGGTAGTTGTTTTTCCTGTTTTGTTTTTTGTTTTTTTTCCCCTCCTGTTTGCAAAAATAGATTGTCAACTTTTCAGAAAGGCATTCAGATATTCACAAAAATAGTGTATTTGTGATTATTGTTTTATTTTCAAGTAGGAGTACTGAATGAAAATTCATTTAAAAATGAAATTTAAATGCCATATCAAATTATAGACACCCACAGACTGTAATGCTAGGAAACAGTCTCTTATCTACTCCTGTCAGTGCTACTGAACTGACCAGGTTTTAAGTCACAAATTGTAGGACAGTGTTGCAACTATCTTTTTTTTTTTTTCAAGGATGGCACAGTGAGAAATGCTTATGTCCCAGGGACCAGATGGCAGGTTCATCTAAGAATAAACTGTTGTTTCCGTATACAAGACATGCTGAAGATCCTAGCGGGAGGATATACCGTGCATGGGCTCTTTATTCTGTAATATTATTTCCTATTACTTTACCTTTCTTTTTTTTATCCTCACCCGAGGACATTTTTCCATTTTTTGCACAGATAGAGTAGGAGGGAGAGAGAGGAAGAGAGAGAGAGAGAGAGAGAGAGAGAGAGAGAGAAAGAAACATCGACGTAAAAAGGGACACATCGAGTGGCTGCCACCCGCACAACCAACCAGGGCCGGGGACAAACTGCAACCAAGGTACATGCCCTTAGCGGGAACCGAACCCGGGTCTCTCCGGACCGCAGGCCGATGCTCTAACCGCTGAGCAAAACCGGCCAGGGCTACTTTACCTTTCTTAACCATTTATTTTTCTTAAATGAATTTTTGGGAATTACTCAATAAATTTCTTAAAATTTAATATTTTGAATCATTTCATTTTTACTTTAGGTTGCATTGGGAATCCATATTTGTCAGGAAACACTATAATTCCTGTCCTGCTTCCCTCACAAGATTCTTTCAAGGATCAAAATGGGAGCAGGGAATCACTCTAATTTTGAAATGATAGAGAAAGTCCTTGTTATTCACACATTTCTGAAAAATAAGCAAGGGCAGGTACTTTTACCTTTATACTGTAAGATAGATTGACACCCAAAAATTATCATGAAATCTTGGGATTTTAGAGGACGTCCAAAGAAGAATTAAGACCATTAAATACTCTCTCATTAGCCCTGAGTGTAATAGTTGGACAAATATAAATTTTCTTCTGTGAACTGTGTAGTCACCTGGTTAACTTAGGTTTGAATGTATGGGAGAAGCATCTGTAGAAAACGTGAGAGCTGAAGGAATTGAGAAAGATTGGTGGCAGAGCAGAAAGAGAATTATTTTTCCACTTTGGATGCCACTGACTTAGTAGAGGTGAGGAGAGGGAATCTGGACCCAGAGCTCTCTCACCCAAAATCAGAAGGCATTGCCCATTTGGGTGGGGAACTAACAACGGGTGCAAGAGAAAACCACAAAGTGAAGTGAGTTTAGTATTTTGGTGAAATTTGGAAGAGGATGATAGATTATAGACTATTCTAATCAGCATGGATGGTAATGAAAAATTAACTATAAGGATCCCATTGCTATTAATTGGAAGTAGGTATGGAAATCTGTTTAATGTGTTGTCGTTTTATTTTAGAAAATATTCCTATTCACCCTTACTCTTGGTCTGTCCTCTGTCCTAGTTTTTTCACTGGTCCCTTAGCACAGAGTTTCTGGGGACTGCAGCTCTTCTGGTGAGAGAGGAGACACAGTAGCGCTGGAGTGGTGAGCCTGGTAACTCTTTTATCCAGTGAAAACCAACTGGAGATTTTGTAGGGCAAAAATCAGATGCTATTTCATTGTTCACCTGGCTGTCTTAATGAGCTCCTTGAAGGCAAATAGTGCTTTCTGTGTCTTTGTGAGCCAAGCCTATTTAGACATGGAAGTATGGTTGTCCTTAGGTGAACATTATCATCAGTAAAGACCTGAAGGAGAATGTGATTCATTGACAGAACCTGCAGCAAATGACTGCTTCCTTGTTCTCATGGATTTTTTAAAAGCTAGCATAACTCTTCTGCCTGTCCTTTTTTTGTACACATCTTTCTGTTAGGTAACCACAGAACATTTTTACTCACTTATAGATGGCTTAGCTTTCTAAAACAGAGATCAATTGTGTCTCTCCTGCATTGTGTTTAGTTTTGTTTTTAAATCATCTGGAGCAAAAATTTCATCCCAGTTTAGTGTGTTTCCATGTAGCACGCTCCTGGGCCTCACTGCCTCATCCTCCATTGGTAAATTGCCTGGTGCTGGAAAAGCTCTCAGCACCACGTGAAGAAGAACCCTCCGAAAAGTACACCAGCTGCCAAAAGTTATGCCATTACGTGAAAATTACATCAAACGTCCAATATATTTTAAATTTTGAATTATTTTATCTTTTAAGGATTTATATAACTTATATAGTTGATTAAAATGGGTATTAAAAGTCACTGGTTTTATTTAATAAATGATAGCCCTCCCCCCCAAAAAAAAGAGTGGAAGTTATTAGCCAGAAAGTAAATAGCCTTTGATAATGCTGTAGAAAAGTAGTAATTATGGTCGCATTATCTGAGATGCCAGTGCCATGAGTTTTTTCAGGTCTTCAGGGGAAGAGAATTTAGAGACGAAGGTGCTTTTAAGGATGGATGAATGGATGTTTGTTTATTTTCATATTTATTTGTAAATAAAATATTCATTTAGCATTTTAAGTAAAGAGCATACTTCCAGGATCTTCTCAAAACAACTCAAGCCATCTTGAAAAGCCCTCTGCAAGCTTATATCAATAAAGATATAAACTGCAGTGGATTGAAGCATATCCAATATGTTTAAATCCATGAGTTCATAATTACACTTCAAAAATAAAGCCCCATTTGTCACATTTGGAAAATATTAGGGAACTGCCTCTTTATTTTGAAAAGTGATAAATTAAGGGAAAGTAGCAGGCATCTTTTTTCTCTTTATAGAATTATTCCAACTAATAAATCAAAAATAAATAATAGACTATCACTTTGAAGTCTCCAAAAAATTGTTGGGTGTAGGCAAATGCCACCAATGGTAACAACTCACAAAAGGAGTCAATCAGACATGATGTGCCTCCTGCTAGAAGTTCAAACACAGCGTGAAGTAGTCTTGCCATCCCCAGCCCTCAATTAGAACTTGAATCAGATCGGGCCTTTAGACGAAATTACCAGTGTCTAAAATACAAGGGACATGATTACATTGTAAGGTATGGAAATGTTGAGTCACTATATTGTACACCTGAAACTAATATAACTAATATAATATTGTATACCAACTGGACTTAAATTTTTTTAAAGAGTTAAGAGAAAAGAATACAAGAGACAGAGGAATATGTTAAATCACAGGAATGAGATGCAGTAAGCAAAATCCAGATTGGAAAACTCTACAAGACAACCAACCCAGTTCCTTCAACAACAACAACAAAAATTGCAAGGGAAATATTAGAAATGGAGAAGAAAACTGTAAATAAGAGAAACCCAAAGTACATATCAAAGAACCACAATATATGAACCTTATTTGAATCTAAAATTTTAACAAACTGAAATAAAATTGTAAGACATTATAACACATATTGGGTGATATTAAGAAACTTTTTATTTTTAGGTGTGATAAAGTTGTTGTTTTGGTTTGGTTTGGTTTGGTTTGGTTTGGTTTGGTTTGGTTTGGTTTGGTACATGCCCCTAGTGGGAACCGAACCTGGACTCTCTGGTCCACAGTGACGCTCCAACTGCTGAGCCAAACCAGCCAGGGCTAATGTTGTTTTTTAATACCCTTGCCTTTTAGAGACATACTGAAATGTGTACAGGTAAAATGATGTGATGCTTGGCATTTACTTCAAAATAATCTGGCTTGTGGGACAGAGGACTGGGGGCAGGGAGTGTTGATGAAAGTATAAATGAAACAAGATTCACCAAGTATTGATGTGTTGGAGCCAAAAAGTAAACACAACTTATTTGTTGTTCTGTTCCTCTCTCTGTTTGCATATATCAGAAAACTTCCAAATTAAAAGTGTGTGCATGCACAAGCACACAAATGTTGATGTTTATATTATATACATGATATATGATATGATATAAAGGTTGTGGTAAAAGTAGGTTTACAGTTGTGTGTGAGAATTTATTATATATATATATTTTTTAATTAATTATTGTATTATTTTCCATACAAACTGCTGTAAACCTACTCTCGCCCTACCTTGTATGTATACCACAGAGTGGAGTTGTGGGGATGGTAGTAGGAGAAGATACCAGGAGCAGAATATATAAACCCTTATAAAGCATGTTGAGAACTTCAGGTTTTACTCTGAGGTGAGCAGCTGTTGGAGGGTTTTGAACTAAGGGGGAAAGATCTGATTTGTGCCAATAGGATCCCCCTGCCTGTTGTGATGAGAGTAGGTGGTGGGGGCAAGCGGGTGAGCTGGGAGAGCATGAAGAGACTATTGCAAAAGGCCAGGTGAGAGTTGATGGAAGTTTGGATCAGGGCGGCAGCCTCTGAAAATACTTTGAAAGCGGAGCCAGTAGGATTTGCTGGTGGACTGGATGTAGTGGTGAGGGAAAGAGAGGAGCCAAGAATGATAGTGTTTTGAGATGAGCCAATGGCTGTTAGCAAATAGTGAAAGTACCATGAAATAGCATAAAACTAAAAGATGAGGCTAATGTGCACTGTTATATACCTGAAAACTTTTGAATACCACATATAGACTTATAGTAAGACTCTATAAGGATAAATTAAGAATCTCAGAAACTGAAGAACATTTGAGTCCAGTTGAGGGAAATATAAAATGATACTGCATCAAAATATATGAAATTCAGTATCATGGCAAGTGTGTAGAGTAGAAAGAAAAAAGAAATGGGTTAGTCAGAGTAGTACTTCTACATCCCTTAGAGTTCTGCCTGGGACCTCCACTTTGAGTAGGTGTCTCTGTTTCTGAGTTAATTTTTTTCCTTATAGGCAAATAAACTTGTTTGTTTGTTTGTTTTCTAGTTGGGGAATGGCGGTCAATGTGTATTCTACCTCGATAACCCAAGAAACTATGAGCAGACATGACATCATTGCATGGGTGAATGACATAGTATCTTTAAACTACACAAAAGTGGAGCAGCTTTGTTCAGGTAAGAGATTATCTTTTAAGTATTTACCTAAATGTTTACTGTCTGTCATGTGGAATGTGATTTTATGAACCACAGATGATATATTTGGGGTAGGAAAAATACATATCAGTATCAATATATAACTAACGGGAAAATTCAAGTATAACTAAAGAACATAGGGGAAATCTTCACGAGCATCTAGGAGCATAGAGCCATCTCGATGCATAATTTGAAGAGTGTCCCATGAGCTCTAACTGGTCTTCAGCCCCTTCTCTATCACCCCGTCAGCCACCACACTTCTGTTGCTAAAATACAGATTGAGTCTTGGCAATTCTCATCCTTAAAAACCTTCAGGGCTCCACGTTGCCCTTCCCATAGGACAAAATTCAAACTCCTTTTCATGGCTGATAGGTCCTTGCTGTTCTAATTGCAACCCATCTCTTCAATTTCATTGTCCCCATCTCTCCCCCTGTGACTCAGCCCGGAAAAATACTCTCTGTTCTTAGAAGACACCTTCTCTTTTGCATCCCATAGCTTTTCCATGCTCCCTTTGCTGAGGTCTTCCCTCTCCCTTTCATTTATGGTAAAATCCCATTCACATGTTAAAATCTGACTTAGTCATCACTCCCTCTGTGAAGGGTCCCCTGAAACACTGCACCCACCCTTCCAGAATAACTCCAGAAACAATCCCTGTTGCATCTCACTCAGCTTCAAATGGCCACTTGGTCAAATTTTTATTGTACTGTTCTTGGAGTGCATTCTGAGCTCTCTCATATTTTATTTTGAATTTGCTCAAAAAACAAACCAAAAAAAACAGTCCGGCTGGTGTGGCTCAGTGGTTGAGCATTGACCTATACACTAAGAAGTCGCTGGTTCGACTCCTGGTCAGGGCACATGCCCAGGTTGTGGGCCTGATCCCCAGTGGGGGGCATGCAGGAGGAGGCCAGTGGATGTTCTTGCTCATTGATGTTTCTATCTCGCTCTCCCTCTCCCTTTCTCTCTTTCTAAAAATCAATAAAGAAAAAATGTTTTAATTTTATTTTAAAAAAATGGCTTTTAGCAATATCTTTATTAATAGCACATATCACATTGTATTATAATTAATGTATATCTTATCCACAAAGTGGGTGTGTGTACATGTGGATAAGGGAATGGGGTGGGTTATCAAGAAAAAGAGACACAGGAAGGGGGTAAGGAAAAGAGTCGGAGAAAATTCCCAGTCATACTTCTTAAACGTTAAAAGAATCCATGAAGAGCGCCCTGTGCAGTACATTTGGAGAGATTTTGCTAGCAAATCAGAGGGTTTTTTTGAGACAAATACAGTTTTATGAGTGATAAGCATACTTTCTTTGCATATCCTTCAAATTTCTCAAGCCAAATTCACCAAAATTTTAAGCAGCATTTATGAAGGATTCTTAAACAGTATTTATACAGCTATCTTCAAGTAGGCATTGGTGTGCATTTTGCAACCATCCGTAGCTACATTGCTATCAGGTGTGGCTTGATGAAACCTGTACAAACAATTTTGATCAGTACTGAACAGATAATTTCCATTGGGATAACTCACTGGCTACCAAAGATTACAAGGTAGATGGTTCACAAGAATAAAGTTTAGATTTAAAGGTACCTTTCTGCTCTGAAACATGTGTTTTTACTGGGGAAAAAAAAAGTTTATTTTAGGCAATAGTTTCTTCAAAGTATAACCTTCAAAGTATAAAATTTATGCATTTATAACCTCCTGGGGAGTTGCTTGAAAATGCAGATCCATAAGCTCCTTGACCTTCTAAATCAGTATCTCCGGTGTGAAGCCCACAATCTGCATTATAACAAGCACCCCAAGTGCTTTGTGCTGCCGCCAAGAGCTTACAGGGCATTTTTGAGAAAACCTAAACCACTAAAAGTGTAGTTAAATTATCCAGAACCCAATCTGGCACAGTTTCCTTATTCATAATTTAGTTTGTGACTTTTCGCTTGTCTTCAGCAGTGGCATTTAGCAGGACAATGCTATCTTTCTATTTATTTATTTATGAATTTATTTATTTATATCATTCATTGTTCTAGAAGACATTTAAGGCAGCTAGAACAGGTCTGTTAGAATAAGAACTAAACCAAATATTGTTGACCTAAGAGATTTACCCTCCTTATACCTCTAAATAGTCACATTTCTTGGATAATATATTTTCTTCAACTTGTAATTCCTTTAAATTGAAATGTGTGTGATTTTATTTTAGTAGTATGCTGTGGGAAAACATACACAATTTATCTTCACATATTTAAACTAATTTTTTTTTCTTGTTCCATACAATTATTTCCTACTCTTTCCTAAGACGTAGGCCCTAATTCTGGCAATCCCTCTTTGGTGGGGGTTTTTTCCTCTATTTGCATTATTTCCCATTTTATTTTTTATTTCCAGCTGAGAGATATCCCTCCAGCTAATATTAAAACTAATTCAGCCCTGGCCAGTTTGGCTCAGCAGTTGAGCGCTAGCCTGCGGACCAGAGAGTCCTGGGTTCGGTTCCTACTAGGGGCACGTACCACCAAAAAAAAAAAAAACAACTAATTCAGCTTTAGCATATAAAAAGCTGAAATACTGGTTCAGTTTGTGTTCCTTTTTCTTCAGAATTTTCTGCCTTTATAATAAGTAACATTTTGTATGTTTTTAATGTGAGCATTAGAAAAACACATTAAAGGAAAAATGGTGTGCGAAGGTATGACACTTGGAACTATGTTGCAGTAAATTGTAAAACAGTGACTCACTCTTATCTCCTGTTATTTTATCTCAAGGATATAACCTTGTGGAAATTTTCTTTGAACATTAAATCTGGGTCATATAACCATATATGTATTTGGTTTGCGTTTAATTTCATTTCTTATAAAAAGCAAGTTCAAACCAAAAAAATAGGCTATATAAATGGAGAGCAGACTGTCAGTGGATGTGAAGACTATCTATAATACAGAGATATACTGCTCACCTAAATCTGTTTTGAAAATGAATAATATTTGTAGGTGTCCCATGGCGGAAGGGGGGGCTAGAACCACTTAAAATATCAGATTGGTTCTGCTTAAAAATATTTTGTTTTACAAAAGAAACTAGCATCAAAATTAAAAGAGAACCTACTGTATGGGAGAACATAATTGCTAATGATACATCAGATAAGGGGTTAATTTCCAAAATATATAGAGTACTGATACAACTCAACAAAAGGAAGACAAGTAATCCAATTAAAATGGGCAGAGGACCTGAATAGACACCTCTCCAAACAGGACAGACAAATGGCCAAGAGACATTTGAAAAAATGCTCAGCGTGCCCTGGCCAGTTCGGCTCCGCGGTTGGAGCATCGGCCTGCGGACCAGAGAGTCCCGGGTTCGCTTCCCACTAGGGGCACGTACCCCCTCCCCTCAAAAAAAAGAAAGAAAAAAATGCTCAGTGTCACTAATCATCAGAGAGATGCAAATTAAAACAACTATCAGGTATCACCTCACACCTGCCAGAATGGCTGCCATCAACAAATCATCAAACAACAAGTGCTGGGTAAGGATGTGTAGAAAAGGGGACTCTAGTACACTGCTGGTGGGAATGCAGACTGGTACAGCCACTATGGAAAACAGTATGTAGTTTCCTCAAAAAATTAAAAATTTTTTTAACTGCCATTTGACCCAGTGATTCTACTTCTAGGACTATATCCTAAGAAGCCTGAAACACCAATCAGAAAGAATATATGTACCCCTATGTTCATAGCAGCATTATCACTATTATTTACAATAGCAAAGATCTGGAAACAGCCCAAGTGTCCATCAGTAGATGAGTGGATAAAAAAGCTGTGGTATGCCCTGGCCGGTTTGGCTCAGCAGTTAGCGTCGGCCTGCGGTCCGGAGAGACCCGGGTTCGGTTCCTGCTAAGGGCATGTACCTCGGTTGCAGTTTGTCCCCAGCCCTGGTTGGTCGTGCAGGTGGCAGCCACTCAGTGTGTCCCTTTCACATCAATGTTCCTCTCTCTCTCTCTCTCTTCCTCTCTCCCCCTCCCACTCTGTCTGTACAAAAAGTGGGAAAATGTCCTCGGGTGAGGATAAAAAAAAAAAAAGCTGTGGTACATAAACACAATGGAAAACTATGCAGCTGTAAGGAAGAAAGATCTCTTACCCTTTGAGACAACATGGAGGGACTGGATAGTATTATGCTCAGCAAAATAAGCCAGTCAGAGAGGAACAAATATAACATGATCTCACTTATTTGTGGACTGTAATGAACAAAATAAGCTGATGAACAAAATAGATCCAGAAACATGGAAGTAGGAAACAGACTGACAAACATCAGAGGGAGAAGGGGTGGGAAGGGGAGGGGAGAGATAAGCCAAAGAACTTATATGCATATGTGCATAACCAATGGACACAGACAACAGTACTGTGAAGGTGTTGGTGGGTGGGAGTGGGGAGGAGACTGTCAATGTGCGGGTGGGGGGGTGGGGAACATATGTAACAAAAATTAATTAATTAAAATATATATTTTATGTTTAGTTTGTTTATAAAATTTATAAGTCTTTTGGCAGGGTGAGATGTTTTGTTTTTACTTTAGTACCAGCCCAAACCAGTTTAGTAGATATTTTATAAGGTATCCAAGAGGGATAATGGGAAGCTAGGTGCTAAAAAATCCCTAAAAGCAGCTTTAACAAGTTGAGATGCCATTTTTTGGAGATGATAGAAAATATAGTGGGTTATACGAAGAGGAAGAACGAAAAGAAATGGGACAGGGAAATGTGTGGGGAGTAGAAGAAACATCATTTCCTTTACCTTTTTGTTGTTAATCCTCACTCCAGGGTAGATTTTCCTTTGATTCTTAGAGGGAGTGGGGGAGAGAGGGAGAAAGAAACATCAATGTGAGAGAGACACATGGATTGGTTGCCTCCATACATGCCCCGACTGGCCAGATCAAGCCTGCAACCCAAATACATGCCCCTGACCAGAAATCAAACCCAAGACCCTTTGGTGCTAGGACCGATGTGCTAACTACTGAGCCACACTGG